CACTCCTTGGGAAAATACCTGGGTCTTCGGTGAAGCACCCTACTACTGTCTCATCAAGGGCCATCAACCCTGTTTAGCTGCTGCAGCTCAACAAATATAGCATTGTGCTAACAACACAAGGGTTGTGGGTTCAAATCCCAGGGAGAAGATCTAAATTGTGACCCTTCCCTCTAGCGCAAGTCGCTTTGGATAAAAGCCCCAGGTAAACGTGAAACCCGGCCAGCCTAAAGCAAACACAGAACACCCCCAGGTTTTTAGGGAATCACACTGGTTAAAGGACCCCAGAACTGCTAAAAACGTACAGGGGAAATTTAATTAAGCAGTGGGGGGGGGCAGTCTGTAAGCACTCTCGGGTGCAACCAAAGTAAAATACGGGCTCCCCAAAGACATTCTGAACTTCCCACTTAGAGAGGAATAAAATGGGTGTGGAATGGGAGCAGAGTTCCCCCCGAACTCACTGGGACGCCTGTAACATTTACGAGGAATCTGTTCACGTTGTAAAAGTGGCATCCCGCTGAGGAAGCCCACGGCGGGCGTGGAATAGCGCGCACTCTGTCCGGCTCGAACACTGACCGTTTATTACGGAGGCCCCTCCCTGCACCACCCACACCCAGGCCCTAATTCAATCTGCCTGATCTGCTGACTGCGGTCCTATTCTATCCATTTACCAATCTATCCATTCATCCGTTTCACCATGAAAACACATTCCTCTCCAAGGACAAGACGCCAATTTCTGGTAAAGTGCAGGAGATCCGCTAACTCTGTGCCATTCCCGTAGAAGGTCATTAGTTCTGGCAGTTAAGAGGACACCGGGAGACCAAAATCAGGAATATTGTGGGATAAATGCTGCGTACGCAGAGACTCACAGTCATCTGCGCCGCAGGATTACAATAATAACGTGACTAAAAATGCAGCCACAATCCTACAAACCACAGGCTCTTATTCTTAATGAAATATTTACAGTAAGCAAGGTTTAACTGCAATTCACGTGACGGCCATTACAAGTCATTCGAGCGCTTGAGGAATTTGGAGGTTATTTCCAGTGACCCCCACGTCTGCCGGCCATGGGGAGGTTCCCTTAAAAGAAAAAAAAAAAAACCTTAAATATTTATGTGTGTCCCAGAGGTCTGAAGCACGGCTTAACCAAACGAATTTGAGAAGCACCGTCAATTTACGGATGCAGCCTGGACTAAGCAGATTACACGCTATTCAGACATGGCAGATGAGAGCAGATCTGCGCAAGCAGCGCACAGCGAGCTGAGGGTCTTCTGCTACGGCTGCAGCATTATTATACCTATAAAGTAGCATTTCATGTGCATGGCTGCGACCTGCGAACGCTGTGACCGGAAAGGTGCCTGTAGAAAATTTTGATTTGGGGAGGCCAGTTATATTCATGGGGGTGACCATACCACACCGTGATGAGGGACAGGGGGGGGCTGCGAATTTAGCAGGGGTTGGACACGGCTATCCTGCCACTCCCGAGATCTGCCCCTGGTGATTGGCTGCATGGTCAGCAAGGAGGCGGGGCAGCGTGCGGGCATTCAGGAGGATTCACGGAGGGGCGTCACTACCCCACGCACCTCCGTACCCAAAAACGCACACGGGCTCAACTCCTAAACATCTCAAACCACAGCACCTACAGGGTTCCTCCCTTTATTATGTTCCGAAAGGCACTGCTTATACAAAGAAGAGCCCAATACCATTAAATAAAAAACCTTTCTGTAGAGCCTTTAATAGCAACATAACTCATTTAGGATTTCTGTGGCATAAATATTTATTCTAAGGCACATGGGGAACTGATTTTTAATCAATGGATCATGCCCAGCCTCTCTCTCTCTCTCTCTCTCTCTCTTGAGTGCACACAAACACACCATTGAAGCGTATCAGGCCTCTGTGGAGCTTAGCATTATCAAATTATAGAATTAGGCCGGTCAACTTATCCCATTAAAGCTGTAAAAAGCGTGGCCCCCACCCTAGCAGAGGGCCAGGCCCTCAGGCCAGCAGCACGGCCCCTCGGCCCAGGCTTGGACCCAGGGAGCCTTTTCTGTGGCAGGATCGAGCTCCCAAGCCCAGCAGCACACAGGCATGTTTGAGGCCAGAAGGACCCACAGCCTGCCTGCATTCTCCACCCTCTGGAGCTGCCGGCGGGCGACAGGGCCACTCATAACCAAAGAGCCGCTTTGTTCTCTGAGATACAGGGGATTTCTGACACTGAACGTGACATCCACCCGACAGTAGGGATGGATGGATGTCCACCCACGCGAGAGAAGAGCAAGTCAGGCTCACGATCGGCAGGGCGAGGAATCTACCCCCACCTGTCACCTAGGGAGGGGCACCCAGACAGCTCCCACACACACTCATGACGCCTGTCAGTGGGTCCTCTTCGTCTTCTAAGCCGTCACCACCTCAGACGGCCTTTCAGGTGTGCCTCAGACACGGCACTTTGTCAAAGTAATGAAGCACTCTACGCTAATGGCTGTACCGCACCATCAAAGCGGCATCGAGATTGCCGTCTCCTATGAGCTTTGTTCCCATGACCCTCAAAGGATGCTGAGGGCAGGCCGGAGGCGGGGCCGGAGGCGGGGCCGGAGGCAGGGCCGAGCGGCGGGAGGACGCCAACGCTGCCTTTGATTGGCCCTGTTGGTGGCAGATCCTCCCGTGGGCGTGACATTATACCAGCTCTGGATCTCTCTGCTTTAGTATAAATATAAACTGAGCATTTTTCTGGTCGTCACTGTTGATCCTCCATCTTCAAGATGCTTTATTAAATCGCCGCGCTGCTCACGGCCACCCTTAAGATTCCCAGGCGTACCAGCTGAATTCTGGTTTTTACCGATGCATGGTGAATGACCATGGGTGACAGTAAATGACTGTAGAGCCCCCCATGAGCTGAAGGGCCTTGCGGGGGCTCTGCAGTAGCGTGGCAAACCACAGCACACTTTAAAAAGCACTGATTTATCGATTGGCTTTGACAGGATTCGGGAAGGTTCACACTTAAGCACTTCAAAGACTCTGCAATCAAAGGAGGTAAATCTAAAATCAGCGCGAACCCCAGTCCTTATGCCCCCCCCCCCCCACTGACAACTGCTACTCACACAGAGCACAGCAGCCTACTGCGTAAATCACCCCCGATAATCATCACACTGTGCCGTCTCACAAACGTCAGACCCGTGTTCCGTCTCCTGGACAGGTTACAACTGTGCTCTTAAATACTTAGCGCTGATCGAGCCGTTGATTACATAAAGCATCCTGTTCAAAACATTTTAATCTAAACACAACGGCTGAGATCGTTTTTTTTTTTTTTGGCATGTCAGCCGACATTTGTGTACTCGAGGAATATCGCTAGCAGAGGAAAGACACCAGGTAAACTTCCTCTGGAACACTGCACAGGCAGTTACCCCAGAGGCGGGTGCTGTGCTGAGAGGTAGAGAAACGTCGGGGGATTCGGTGCGTGTGCAGTTCAGACGCAGAACAGTGACAGATGTAAGAAGCTTTGATTGGGGAATGGCAGCTTCAGAAAACATCGCCCCGCCGAGGTTTTCACACACGGCTGTGCCATGGCTGCATGAAGAGGGGCCTTCCACACAAAAGAGAATAATCCCTAACAGTGCAGGTATCTACCCCGCTACCCTGAGAGAATAATCCCTAACAGTGTAGGCATCTACTCTGCTACCCTGAGAGAATAATCCCTAACAGTGCAGGTATCTACCCCTCTACCCTGAGAGAATAATCCCTAACAGTGTAGGCATCTACTCTGCTACCCTGAGAGAATAATCCCTGTTTGCTAAGTATCTATCGCC